ATAAAATATTCCATAAACAACTGCAAGCAGCATTCCTCTAGCAACTGTATGCAACGTTCTCTGTAAATATGCATGCAACATGCATTCAATCGCTATATTCAGCATACTCTGAGCAACTGTATATACCATTCCCTGTACCATCTCGTAATCAAGTATATTCCAGAACAATTACATGCAGAACCCTTATAACTATTGGGCAATTTACTTTGCACACACTCACTGCAAAGTACTAAACAGGATAATCACGAGGAACTTGTTTAGTAATCTGCAAAACTGCAAAACAATCTATAAAACAGGATGAAACTATAATCAAGGTGCTCTCTGAAAATCTGGTGTTACTAGTACGTTTTCATTTCTCACTGAGAAGAAAGGTTTATTAAACTTGGAGAGACTCTGCTTCCATTAATGTCTTGCGGATCCAAGCTAGTAACACATTCCTTAGTAAACCGAAATTCTATATTTGTATTTGCCTTTATTTGACATGGACCAACCTCACTCCCTCTATTTTATTTATAGATTTATAGATTTATTTATAGAATTTAATTCACCAAAGAAAATTATGAGCATAAAAACTTACGCAAAATTCAACACCATACTTAAATTACAAATTAATATATATATATATATATATATATATATATATATATATATATATATATATATATATATATATATATATATATATATATATATATATATATATAAAACTCACACCCCAGAAGTGACTCGAACCCATACTCCCAGGAGCCACGCAACTGGTATGTACAAGACGCCTTAATCCACTTGACCATCACGACCGGACAAAATGAGGTGATAGCCGAGGCTATTTTAAACACCCCACCGCCGGCACTCGGATAGTAATCTTGGGCATAGCATTTTACCAAATCACCTCATTCTTTGGGGCACACGTGAGGAACACAAATGCGAACAACGTGTGCCCCAAAGAATGAGGTGATTTGGTAAAATGCTATGCCCAAGATTACTATCCGAGTGCCGGCGGTGGGGTGGTTTAAAATAGCCTCGGCTATCACCTCATTTTGTCCGGTCGTGATGGTCAAGTGGATTAAGGCGTCTTGTACATACCAGTTGCGTGGCTCCTGGGAGTATGGGTTCGAGTCACTTCTGGGGTGTGAGTTTTCAGTTGCATATTGTCCTGGGGACCATTCAGGCTTGTTCGCATATATATATATATATATATATATATATATATATATATATATATATATATATATATATATATATATATATGGAAACATACGAGTGACGAATATTATACAAGTGACCTTGTATTTGTCTGTAATTGCCTCTACATTCATGTTCTCATTTTACCAAAGCATCTATGTCTGATAATGTAACAAGGGTTGAAACGCTACATCAGTGAGAAAAGACAAATGGATTTATAACTTATCTGTGCAAATTAAAATATAGTTAAGAAGACATTAAAACCTATTGGAAATATTAGTAACATCCATTCCATCTTATTGTGCCTAACCACATGGGCTGGACGGTAGAGCGACGGTTTCACTTCATGCAGGTCGGCGTTCAATCCCCGACCGTCCAAGTGGTTGGGCACCATTCCTTCCCCCGTCCCATCCCAAATCCTTATCCTGACCCCTTTCAAGTACTATGTAGTCGTAATTGCTTAGCGTTTTCCCCCTGATAATTCCCTCCCTTCCCTCCATCTTACTGTTCAAATAAATTGTTTAAAATTAAACTTACATTTATATATGAGTTGCCATTTGGAATTTCTACAATCGAAACTCTTGCTTTGTTTTACTGCATTTTGGTTAAAAAATTTACAATTTGTGGTTTTGTTGTGTTTCTGAGAATCTTCGTTAAGGTTAAGAATTGTATAAATAGTTGGATAGTGCACGTATTAGAGGGTTGTTATTGTTGATCATTATAAGTTTGACTTTAATAATGTTATAATTAGTGTTTACTGAAGAAATGAGGATAGTTCCTCCTGCGTTGGTGTTCATGCTATTGAAGAGATATTTATAAAGGGTGTAATATTGGCATTTTATATCAATTTATATTATATATATTCCTACAAACTTTAGTAAAAATTACTTGCTTTGTATGTGGAAAGCAGAATTTTTTTTTTATTTTAGATACATATTTAATGTAATTAAATAGAGTATACATAAATACTGCATTTAATTACATTTAATACAGTATTTATGTATTTAATGTAATTAAATACATAAATATCTCTACAAAAGGTATCGGGGCCAGCAGGAGATCTGCTGAGTCTACCTAAGAGAAGGTCCACTGTGTCTACCCAGCAGAAGAGTCAGTGTGTCTGCTCAGCAGGAGAATCAGTGTGTCTGCTCAGCAGGAGAATCAGTGTGTCTGCTCAGCAGGAGAATCAATGTGTCTGCTCACCAGGAGAATCAGTGTGTCTGCTCAGCAGGAGAATCAGTGTGTCTGCTCAGCAGGAGAATCAGTGTGTCTGCTCAGCAGGAGAATCAGTGTGTCTGCTCAGCAGGAGAATCAATGTGTCTGCTCACCAGGAGAATCAATGTGTCTGCTCAGCAGGAGAATAAATGTGTCTGCTCACCAGGAGAATCAATGTGTCTGCTCACCAGGAGAATCAATGTGTCTGCTCACCAGGAGAATCAATGTGTCTGCTCAGCAGGAGAATCAGTGTGTCTGCCCAGCAGAAGGCCAGCTCGCTGGGCTCCGTTTTCCTCAGATTTGTGACATTCATTTGTCTCTCTCCACTTGACGCATGGGTGGCGACTTCCCTTCTTTTCTCATATTTCGCTTTTTTTTTTTCCTTCCATTCCTTGTTCCTTTTCTGTTTTCTTCCACTTCTCCCTTCTTTCTGCTTCTTAATCACCTCTTCTCCTTCCTGGTTCCACTATTCTTTCTCTCTCCTCTCTTCTATGTCTCATCTCTCCTTCACAACTCCTTATATATCTCTTCTATGACCTCTTCGTTTCACTTTCATTCAAAGATTCACAGATATTTCATCTCCCCGCATGGATTCTTCATCAGATTCTCGTAAATCAATTACTTCTTTTTCAGGTCAGAACCTGTACTCTCGTCTCATAACGGGTTCGTGTAAGATGGACGGAGATTATGTAAGTTTGACGGATGATTGTCTAAGATAGACAGTAGTCTAAGATGGACGGGGGTCGCCACACATATTTCGTCAAGAACCATGCATATTGTCTCTAGTCATGCATGTTCCACCTATTCTAATCATGTTGTACCTGGTACCATGCACAATGTAATTAGCACCATTGGTAGATAAATAGAGCTAATCACCATATTAAGGTTAATAAGATTTCATACACCTGGATAATCTGAGCTCGAACCGCCGACCACATTGGCAGCAGCCAGCCGCTCTATTTACTGACCCAACAATAATCCTCAAAAAGAATTCCATGAGTACCAAACTGCTTCCCAACTGGAACTTTGGTCCTTCCCGTGGGGCGCCTCTTTGGTATGTAGGCGTGTTGGTGATAGATAATGAACATCGTTGTCATATATATATATACCACCATATTGTGGGTAATAACATTGTTATTAAGAACCACTGAAACACTCTGAAGATATATTATTACGAATACTAAAACTCTCGAGGAATCACACCATATATTTCTCACTTAACTCCATGAAAACTGCCTGGGGTGTTTGTAAATACTAATATATCTTAAATGCTTTATCTTAGACCTGTCCTTACCAGCCTATGTCCGTCCTATGCTCCGTACCAGCTTTAGACAGACCAACAAACGGATGGAGTAGTGGAAAAACAGACATTTTATCTCTTATAGTATAGATATACATACTGCAATTTGCGTATTTGCTAAAGAACATTTGTATTGTCGCATCAGGATAACATTCCCATTGTTATCCTGATGCATATGTTAAACGATGGGTTAAAAAAAGATAAAGGATAAACAGTAGAATTTAAGACCCATTGACTTCAGGTGAGGTCACTCCGTATCTGGCTTGGCCTCGTTAGGAAAATAATGTGAAAAACTACCAGTTAACTTTATTTTTATCGATGAAACGAGTAATTGGCATTTGATGTTCCAGGTGAGATATCAACGAAGAGGATAAACTATAAGTCGCAATAAAACCATAAAGTGGTAACGAAATTGTTACCAGGTGTCTAGAGATCAATAGCGCAAAGGACATATCCCCTGTAAGCTGCCTCGGGTGGTGTTCTGTCCGTTATTGTGTTCTGCTGGCTCTCTACACCACCACTGAGCTGTGTATGTCATCATACAGGCTCTCTACACCACCACTGAGCTGTGTATGTCATCATACAGGCTCTCTACAGCACCACAGAGCTGTGTATGTCATCATACAGGCTCTCTACAGCACCACAGAGCTGTGTATGTCATCATACAGGCTCTGTACACCACCACTGAGCTGTGTATGTCATCATACAGGCCCTGTATACCACCACTGAGCTGTGTATGTCATCATACAGGCTCTGTACCGCACCACTGAGTTGTGTATGTCATCATACAGGCTCGGTACACCACCACTGAGCTGTGTATGTCATCATACAGGCTCTCTACAGCACCACTGAACTGTGTATGTCATCATACAGGCTCTGTACACCACCACTGAGCTGTGTATGTCATCATACAGGCTCTGTACACCACCACTGAGCCGTGTATGTCATCATACAAGCTCTGCACAGCACCACTAAACTGTGTATGTCATCAATAAACTTATTTCAATTTCAATACTTGAACTCATATTACATAATGATACCCTTCAGAGAAAAACTATTTTATTTTAATGTACGAAACACCTCACGTATGCACTCGTGGGTTGAAGAAAGGTTGTTTGACATACACAAGTCTATTGGCGTCATTTCCCTTGTTCGTTTCTTCCTGAGTAAAACCATAATTGTTTCTTGATTTCATTATTTTTGTGATCATATTAACGTTAGCTAAATCGAGTCACTTTACTATATGTGACTGTTAGGTTCTTAAATATGAAGTTGAAATATTTAATGAGACTTTCCCTGACAGGTGTGAGCGAGGAGACGATGGTTGGTGTGGCTCCGTCACCACCTCACTCTGAGCACCGACGCAACCTCTACCTGGCCCACTGAGGCCACAGCTACCCTCTCAAACACAACACTAACGGTATGACATTGAGAACTACCATTAGGGCACTGGTGGTATGACAGTGAGAACTACCATTAGGGCACTGGTGGTATGACACCGAGAACTACCATTAGGGCACTGGTGGTATGACACTGAGAACTACCATTAGGGCACTGGTGGTATGACACTGAGAACTACCATTAGGGCACTGGTGGTATGACAGGGAGAACTACCATTAGGGCACTGGTGGTATGACACTGAGAACTACCATTAGGGCACTGGTGGTATGACAGGGAGAACTACCATTAGGGCACTGGTGGTATGACACTGAGAACTACCATTAGGGCACTGGTGATCTCACTCTTAATTGGAGTTTATAAAAATAACTCACTTAGTTAGTAACTGCAGTTGACCAGACCACACACTAGAAGGTGAAGGGACGACGACGTTTCGGTCCGTCCTGGACCATTCTCAAGTCGAATATTATTATTCGACTTGACTAATAATAAATATTATTATTACTATGCCCTCTACTACACCTTACTTTCCTCCTCAGCTCTCTCTTGCCTATTTATTGCATGTCTTTACTTCCTCATCACAATCGACTTGAGAATGGTCCAGGACGGACCGAAACGTCGTCGTCCCTTCACCTTCTAGTGAGTGGTCTGGTCAACATACTTTAGCCACGTTTTTGTGACTCATCGCCTGCAGTAACTGCAGTTATACCTTGAACTTGTATTCACAACACGTTCTTAGGCCAGCATCGGTAAAGCTGAGTCCTTTCTCAACCGTCCCATCCCTCCATGACGCATTCATCATTTTTTAACGTATTGTGTATTAGGAATAGGTTTGTTCTGATTTATATATTAATATTAATATATGCAAAAGTTTCATGTATAGTTAAGCGTAGGTTAGTATAGGTGTTTAGGTTCTGTTAGCAATTATTTTTATTTGAAGTACCGTGGTTGCAGCATTTACGTCATTGTGATTCGAACAGTGATTGTCAGAGGAACTCTATTCTAAAAATGTTCGAACGTCTTAAGTTGTGAGTCGTGTCTAAACAGGTTTTCATTCATAAACAGGAGCTTTGACGACTGGATTAACGAGCATTCACCTCTATTGATGAGTGATGAGTGAACTCACTATACTTGAATCATTCACATGAACTTGACAAGATAAAGACTACTGCAAACTTGCATGAGTAAGAGAAAGACCATTTTAACTAGTTATTCTATATATAAGAATAACCATGTTATTCTTATATATATATAAGCCATGTCTTTCCCAACAGATTCAGCAGGGGGCTTCACAGGACTAAGACCCCAGTACATCAAACAAATGCTGAATCCGGTGCTTGGAGAGGCCGCAAAGGATCTTTTAGCGGAACTTACCAGACTCTCCAACATGTATATGGCTGGCGGCATCCCTGAGGACATCAGGCCTCTCTTTTGTGGAGTAGCACTCTGTGCTCTAAAGAAAAAGGATGGGGGATCCAGGCCCATTGCCGTTTTCAACACCCACCGACGCCTCGTAGCTAAGGCTGCAGTGAGATCTATCAGCCAGGAATCAGCCACCTTGCTGAAACCTAATCAGCTTAAGTCTGGGATCCCCCTAGACTGTGAAGCTGCAGCACATGCAGCGCGGGCTTACATTGCTGTTCCCCTGGCCCAGAAGGCACTAGTAAAGCTTCACTTTAAAAATGCCTTCAATCAAGTCAGAAGAGACGCTGTCCTCAGGGCTGTACACAACCATTTTCGTCCCCTTTACCCATTCATCCGATCGTGCTACAGTGGGGATTCTAAGCTTCTTTTTGGGGAGCTTGAAATAGACTCCTGTGAAAGAGTCCAACAAGGTGACCCCTTAGCACCCCTCCTTTTCTGCTTAGCTATCAAAGAGGTCACTGACAGTCTGACAAGCGAGCTAAACATCTGGTACCTGGATGATGGCACTCTCGCTGGAACCCCAGATACCATTTTGGAGGATATAAGGAAAACTCAGGAGCAAGGAGCAGCCTTGGGCCTCATTCTCATATATATATATATATATATATATATATATATATATATATATATATATATATATATATATATATATGACTGAAAACTCACACCCCAGAAGGGACTCGAACCCATACAGCCAGGAGCAACGCAACTGGTGTGTACAGGACACCTTAATCCACTCAACCATCACGACCGGTCATAAGGAGGTGATAACGGGTCCACATTACTGTGAACCCGTTATTGTGAACGCATTATGGTGGACACATTACTGGACCCTGTGAACACATTATGGTGGACACATTACTCTGTCGAACACATTATGGTGGACACATTACTGTGGACACATTACTATGGACCCGTTATTGTGAACACATTATTGTGGACACATTACTGTGGACCCCGTTATTGTGAACACATTATTGTGGACACATTACTGTGGACCCGTTAGTGTGAACATATTATTGTGAACACATTACTGTGGACCCGTTATTGTGAACACATTATGGTGGACACATTACTGTTGTCAGAAATTGTGCTTTATTGTTTTTGAAAGATGAACAAGAGTAGGTTATTAAAAACTGTAAATGTCACCCAAAACACGGTTCTAAATAATTAACCTGTCCAAATTGTCAAGAGCTTCAGACCTAAAATTAATTTTCATGCTAAACCAAATTTACTGACCAGCCTCCTGTCACAGGATTTACAATAGGTTTGGAAAATATATATTTATAGCATTAAGGAACAAATATACTAAAAATCTTCAGTACCTTATGTTTATTATATCGTGTGCATTGATTGCTTAATTAAATAATAAACGTCTTTGGAGTAAAGTAAGTTGAAGGTCATGAGACTCAGTATAATGTGGCGTTTTACTTCATCTAGTAAAGGCATCTACCATCACTCCATCTTGTAAGGGAAACTTAGCACGGAAGTCGTTTTCAATGCAACCGTAAGCTGTAGCAAACGCTGATATCGGTACCAGCTGATACTGTTTGAGTTCCTGGTTAATGTAGCGTACGTGTTAAGCGTGTTACATTACATTACATTACGTGTAGCGTGTTAATGTAGAGTACCTGGTTGATGTAGCAAACGCTGGTATCAGTAAAATCTCACACTGCCATCAACACAAAAGAACCAAGCAGGAGTCCAAGAACCCAGCATCCTGTGTACCATACAAATGCTTCAAACCAGAGGCAGAAACTGCACACAGAAAGAGTAGAAGAGAACATCGAACCAGCGAAGAAGTCTCCCGACTAAACTGCTAAAAGAGACAGACCCGGGACACCTAGCCAAAAGGACCAGAAACCATGGCAGAGCAGGACACTATGAGGCCAGAAGGATCACCCTGCCAGTAAAAGTCTCCAGTTTTGACAAGACTAAAAGCAACAGTTGAACTTGAGAGTAGATGTAGGAATGTTGATGATAAGTCATCAACATGCCTACAGTAGGCGTTAGGTTCTAAGTCCATGTCAACAAGGACTTTCTGTTCTACAGTATCCATCTAAAAGTTAGTCAATAGGAGATCAAGGGGGGGAAAGCCACAGTGACTCCTTCTGCTCGTTTGTCCACGCGACCATCAGGGCTCAGTACTGGAGCCTTTTTAGTATATACTTCAAGAAGCTTCTTTAATGAGCCTTCTGTGATGTCAACTGGAGTACAAACGTAATTTCTTTAAAGTGTCCACTATTATTTCAATAGTTTCATTCACGGTCACTTTTTGGTCAAAAGCCACTCAACATTCAGAGATGATCTTACGCCCGACGCCTGTGTTACTAGCAAAAAGTTGACAAATTCCGATCAAATACATTCCGTATCGTTTTTCATCCTTCTTATAGAACTGGATAAAAATACTTGTTTATAGAGCACTATAATGTCTTTTCCTTGGGGCTCATTATCCTCAGTGGCTTATTGTCTTACGATTTCGTTGAAGTCGTTATTACTGTAATCATGATTAGCAATTTTATTTAGTTTTTTCATCTTACATTGAACGATCTGTTTTATAACGTACTATAGTTTATACCAAGGCAATATATATGTTAAAATAATATTTATACACTAACAAGTTTTTTAACAATAAAGAGAAGTATAATTTAATATATTAGTGTACACAAACAGTTTTGATAAATGAGTCTTTCGGATGATATTTGCCAATCAACTGGTTGTGATCTTCAATGTCTTAAATGTGATCTTCAATGATCTTCAATCTTCAGTGTCTCCTGTCATACATGCACTTCTCTTTCTCGTGTGTCAGTTTGTTTCCGATTACGTATCAACTAACACATCTACATAACAGACAACTTTTTAAAAAAGATGGCTTATAAACATGATTGTCAGATTACAAGAAAAGGTAACGAAACAGACTCCTCTCAGGCCTGGTCATGCAAACAACTTTGCACCTGAAATGGTGGTTGTCACCAAGGAAATCTGAGAAGTAAAAATCAATCAATACAACTTGTTTTTTATTGAAAAATTAATGTGTTAATTTTTCCATCTAAGTTCATAACAATACTTGATGCATGGCGATAAGTCACAATAACGTGGCTGAAGATATGGTGACCAAACCACACACCAGAAGATGAAGAGACCACGACGTTTTGGTCCGTCCTGGACACAATGGATTTGATAATGGTCCAGGACAGACCGGAACGTCGTCGTCTCTTGTTCATCTGGTGTGTGGTTTGGTCATCACAATACTTGATGTATCATTACAGTTATAATCATGACTTATTGCTTCCTCTCAAAAACTATCTAGAAAACTCAGTGATACTGATCTCACAAGTATCATATTGACCTTCATACATTCCTTAAACGTAGCATAAGAAACCCCTCACCACACTCTCCATATTAAGTTTGTTGTCCCTCAATTGGAATACTACAACAGTACCGTTTTCTAGGCCACATAACAACTGTACGTAACCCTCAAGTACCAAGGATAACAACTTGAAACCCGTTTGCAAGTACCATCATATACCACTATAACACTCTGCTACTCAATGACAGGTACCATGATGACGCTAGTGATGGGAGGCGCAGTGGCGGAAAGATTCATTGGCTCGGTAATTGAGGACAAGACCAAGGGGACAGGACCACATCCTCCCGGGGTCCAGACCGGCAATTCCAGCAACGTCCATCCTGGTCGATCCGATGGTGAGTTTATCATCCCGCCAGTTCTGAGTTAGTCCACTCGCCTGTCTTTGCTGAAGGTGGAATATATTGTCGGTCGTGAGTGATCCAAGGAGACATGAGATGAACAGTTAACCAGGTCTATGTGATGCAGGTAACCGAATTTTGGTCAAATGTGTTCCAAATGACAATGTGAATGTTCTAGTCAGTCTAGTATGGTACAGTTTGTGTGTTGTTTACCTGTGATCTAAGTACCCCTAATGCAAAAGTGTGAACTAGGAAGTTTAGTGTGTAGTGTATTATCTGCATTCTTCTGGGCAGTTGCATTCCAGATGATTTCGTGTATGCTGCCTTTCTTAGCAGCATACTAAGTTTTCTATATGACATTGTATATACGGAAAATTTAAAACCATATTGTCATGTACTCAGAGCCCAGATTTTGTTCTGAATACAACATTTACCCAATTATATATCATTAGCCTCATGAAATAATTTATTTCAACCAATCTTTTTTTCTCCACCTAGACCCTTGAGGCGTATCAATAGATTTGTACTGGCATTCACATGAGAGAACAGACGAAAGGTGATTAAAGTCCGTCGGTTTTTCTAATTTAATTATATAAAATAGATTCTGACAAAAATTAACAATATAACAGATCCCTCTTGGTTAAATTTGCTTCCCTTACCAATAAACATACTGGACCTACCTGGCCACCATCTACAATTCATAACTTCAGTCTAAGTCCCTAATTCCGAATCATCACTACAACACTTATACTCGGTTAGTCTCCCATACGATACTCACACTCACTACACACTCGACTCGGGTCAACATGATCACATCGAGTCCCCACATCGGCTTGAATTCTCTTCGTCGCTGCCACAGGAGGATTTAGAACCACGGTTTCCACAAGACTGCCCTCCACCCGGCCAGCCTTCACCACCACCCAACACCGTCCCAAGCACATTATAATCAGATTAAATGTAAATCTCCTTGGTTCCAAGAATATTGGATCGCCCTTTGTGACCTCTTGGCTGTAACATTGGCTTGGGCGGGCTAATGCTGGCTTAATCTCATTGTCCTCACCTCGATGCGTGAGCACAGTCTGACTGCTCACATGCACCACCACTCTTTCCAACCATCATTAAGTGTTGTAGTGCTTGATTCACTAGCTAATACTTACCCAAACTGTTGACCAGACCACACACTAGAAGGTGAAGGGACGATGACGTTTCGGTCCGTCCTGGACCATTCTCAAGTCGGCAATCGACTTGAGGATGTTACTATGTTAGATTATCTGTTAGTTATTATGTAACTAACAATTAGCGATAATTTAACACTTTCGTCTGACCATGGGTTCATCGTTCACTTTCACATGTATATATATCACATGTATATATGTATATATATATGTATGTATATATATATATATATATATATATATATATATATATATATATATATATATATATATATATATATATATATATATATATATATATATATATATATATATATATATATATATATATATATATATATATATATATATATATATATATATATATATATATATATATATATATATATATATATATATATATATATATATTAAGAAAACTCTTCCTCGTGAAAGTGTTCGAACCTTAGACCCCTTCCCCCAGGAGCTTTCAAACCAAGCTTGAATAGTAACCAGTTTGAGTAGTAACCAGTGGCCTGTACGTACCACATCGCAGTGGATCTTACTTCCGCTACTTTGGCTCTGTGGCGAATTTTGATAGTTGGGAGTATTTTCTTCTTGATTTGTTAATTAATCTGTGAAAAACTTGGAGGCAACTTGTTGTAACCTGTACAACAGAGAGAGTAGTGGCAGTTTTCGCTAGTGAGTCTGCCTTTTCATTACCATCTATGCCAATGTGACCTGGTATCCAGATTAGGGTGATTGACAGCCCTAGAATGTGTACTTCTTTTCTTATATGTAGGATTTCTATGATGAGTTGCATATTATCTCTGTGCTGGCTGGATAATAATGCAAGGAGAGAAGATTTAAAGTCGGTATGAATAATGACATCATGTAAATTATTCTCAATTGCATAATTTATGGCCACCTTCAAAGCATATAATTATGTTTGCAACGTTGAACACACACTATTCATGCTCCAGTAATCTTCATTGTTATTAGTGTAAACTGCTGCCCCAGAAGAATCCCTTTCATGATCAACTGATCCATCTGTGAAGATGTGAGTGATTGTCGGTCTGGAGATGGTTTTCATTTGATGTTGTATGATTGTTTTGACCCTTGCGAAGTCACATGCTGATTTTTTTAACTGGTAATCCTTCAATGATTATCTTTAGACTCAATTCTTTCCATGGAGGAAGCTCCGAAAGTGTTGATATGGTCTACCTTCTCCTTCGTTTTAATGTTCCATTTCAAGTTCACTTTCTCTAGCATCTTGACCAGATTATCCGTACATGCACTTGTTCTATATTGAAGGTTTCTGTGAAGTGATCTGTGTATGCTGTCTTTGATTGACAGTCAGGCGGTGGTTCCAACAAGTTTTGCTGTTATGTTGGCTATTCTTTGTTTGATCCTGTTTTCTAAGGTTGGTAAATTGGTTTCCATTCTTAGATTTTCTCAACGATGTTGTCTCCTGGTATAACAACGATGTTATAACAAGTCTCTGGTATATTACCCGTGTGTCGTCCCTGGTATATTACCTATATTATATATATTACATATAAATACAACAATGCTCCCAGCATTGTTCTGAAGGCATCATTTTGTGACAAAGATTCTCCCATTGGATATCACAGACAGGAGGCCAATCACAGACTAAAAAATGGCCAATAAAGACATTCAAACAGTTTCGTGTAATTAATGCTGCTCTTTTAAATTCCACTGTATAGAACTCATGTTATATCTCATGAATTCAAGCCGCTAAATATAATAGCAAGTATCATATTTATGAGTAAAAACAAGTTTAAAAACTGGAGATTCCATTCCTCAGCCGCACGGTGAGCAAGCATATTATGGTATATTAAGCTGCAAGTCTGAGAGAGACGTAATTAGTACTCATACCAGTAGCATTCCCCGGAAGCGAGAATCTAAAACTTAGCCGGTTGCTTCTCCATCTGGCTTCTTCCTACAAGGAAGAAAATGGCTTCGTAGAAACAGTTTCTATTACGTTTTCGGTATTACCTTTCATTTCATTTTTTTTAGTTTCTTATATACAGTTGCAATTCACACAGAAATCACAATATCGTGATGCATCAAATGAACGGGGTATTACATCTTTATCACCATTTGTGTATCACTATGTATCACCCTTTGTATATTTTTCTGTATCACTCCTTGTGTATTGAGTGTCTCCCACCAAGGGTGTATTACCTCTGTATCACTACTTGTACATTACCTTTGAGTAATGTACAAGTACAGCCCTTTGAATTACCACTTGTGTATTATCTGTATATAACCAAAGATATATTACCACTGGTGTATTACTTGTATATCACCACTGATGATATAAAGGTGTATGCAAACTATACATTACCACTGGTGTATTACCCCTGGATAACTAAGGGTGCGTTACCACTGGGTGAATTACATATATATATACCCATTGGTATATTACCTGTGAGTAATCAAGGGTGTATTACTTGTTTATCTCCCCTGATGTAATACCAGCGCATCGCCACTGGTATTACACGTATATCACCACTGGTATATTTCTCATGTATAGTCCCAGGTATATATTTTACCCTTGTATCGCCCCTGGGATGTTACATTTGGATTATTAATTGAGCGTTACTACTAGTATATTTTTGAAAGGTATATTTTTTATTAGAGTTTCCTTCTTCCTGCAGATGGCTCTCGCTTGGACAGCTACGTCATTATTGTGGCTCTGGTCAGCACTATCTTCCCTCTCATCTGCCTCATTCTCAGCCTCGTTATCGCCAGGTAAACGCAGTATATGTGAGTCTGATTGGCTCTGATTGACAGTTTAGCAACAATCAGTTTCGGCATATTTTTTTGGACGTGTGTATATATTACTCTGTTTTTATCACTAGGGTCGCTCTGATGGCATGAGCATTGATATCATATTTATAGTTCGGGTCATTATGAAGTTAAAATCACCGGCGTATATTGCCCTATTGTTTTTAGGATTTCAAAGACATTTATTTGATCGATTTTCCCTGCATGGACCATCATCACATCGAAGTCAAGGATACTTATTCCCCTAAGCTTGTTATAGGGTCAGAGATTCTGTTGTCTAAACTTCTAGTTAAATTGGCAGTTTATTATATAAAGCGTTTAACATGTAAACACTTTCTTTCAAGCTAACTAATATGTAGGAACAACATTTCTTATATAAAATATTATGATCAATAAAGTCTTCTGCGTGTATAAACATTGTCAAACAAATAGTTTAACATTATCGGGACAAAAATCCAGTGAGGTTTGTCGAGGTCCTTCTAGGACAGGGAAGTGTTCAACCTTTTTAAGTGTGCATGCCAAAATCCACCAAATCTTTGATGCCACTTGGGCTGTACGTTAGAGCGACGGTCTCGCTTCATGCAGGTCGGTGATCAATCCCCGACCGTCCAAGTGGTTGGTATTACCGTTCCTTCCTCCCCGTCCCATCCTAAATCGTTATTCTAATCCCTCCCAAGTGCTATATAGTCTTAAGGGCTTGGTGCATTCTCCTGATAGTTCCTTTCTCTTTTATGCTAATTATTTTCACGTGCCAACCGAAATTCTTGGGAACATGTTATTATTTCGTGTCTCATAAGTATTGAAAGAACATTTCAAATATTCAAATATTAAACTAGAGCGGTAAAATCACCGAATATTCTAAGAGTGATTATTGTAAACCAAGTAAGATTAAATGAATGTAAAATTTAGTGACGGAATTTTTACTTAAAGCTCGTTGTACCCCGTTGATAGCGTGGGTAGTTTTTATTCACCTTTAAGTGTAATTCTTGGGGCCCATATACAGCCACACAAATTAAAGTAGCAGTTTTTAACATCAGAAGAGCGTAAACAATGATTCTGATTATTTGTTTTTGTTTTTATATCAGATCAGACAGCCATAAGTTATCAAGTTTTCATAATACATTACAGTGCCAAATCTCATAATGATAATGACTATTATAATGATAATGTTCATTTAGGCAAAAGTACATACATACAAAATGAGTTATACACAGAATGTAGGATTTCTAGATAGAGCTAGTACATACTATGCCTAAAGTTACTAATGCGCGCGGCATTTTGGGCATATTTGTTTTACTTGGCTAAAGCACAATAAAAGAAAACAAAATTGAAGAAATTTATTTACAAAAATTTCATTCCATATGAGTAATACATAAAAATTACCCAACTCAAATAATCTCATCATAATCTCTCTCTACATATACCTGCCGAGTTTCACGATCCTAGGATAAGCATACCAAAAATTAATACAATAATTAACTTACCTAAAATTTTGGTAAATGAATCACGAGACATCTGGCCGCCTAGTGAATAAATGGGCCGAAACTAAACTATATTGTGCGTCTGTGTGTCGCGAAGACAGATGACTTAGACATAGTATGTTTGTTTCATTTTGTGTATTAATTATTCTTACTAAAACAGTTGTCAGTGTCTGTTTCTTTATTGCATTTTATTTGGTATCGCTCTACTTAATAAAATTAATATTAATAAAATCTGCTTAATAAAATTATATTGTATTAAGTTAAAATATGCACCTCAGCGAAGAAGTTGAATATATATTTATTTCATAATTATTTAAAGTGAACCCTGGATTTCGCGTGCCAGATTAAAGTCATTTACGTGCCAAGTTAGGCAAGCGTGCCATGGGTTGCCCACTCTTGTTCTTTGGATAACGACTGACCTTCCCCAGGACGAAGCTAACTCCCAGGTACCCATTTACTACAAATGTGAACAAAGATATCAGATATATGGCATTTGCCCTAACATGTGCTGTCAAGGATTCGAACTCGAGTTTTATTTTTTTTTTCATGGATATTCCAGCGCGGGCCCTAAACCTCTGGCTGGCCCACTAAGTGTTGCTTGTTTCTGTTTTACTTGGGCGGAGTATGAGTATTTATGACTCGTATGGTCGCTTCAGTAAGATTTTGCCATATGTGTTTAACAACTTCTTCTGCTCTGTTAAATCTCAGTTGAAATCTTAATGGGTTTGTAACTGTGCACTGTGTTAGATTAATGTTCCAGTGGTCTGTCCGGCAAAACTCGAGCTGAATTGGTAGTGAGCCAAAAGATCGATGTTCTCTGATACCTATAATGATATTGTTCTAACACACTATTAAAGCATTTTAATATATATTTATTGTCTTTCTAACTGACGAACTAGACACTAATGACTTTCAATTTTAATTCAAAACTGGTTATTCAACACAATTTTGTATTTTCGTGGTAAAGAAAATTATTCAGTGTTGCAAATCACTGGATAACTCTGTATCTCTGTTTCTTGATGCTTGTAAAGTTTTACAAGTTGAACAGACCAAACATTTTAAAGAATTGCTTAGCAGAAAAGTATGTCCTCTCATCGCTAGATGAGAGGACATACTCATTGATATATTTATGAGTATGAAACGTATAAAATTAATATATATGAATGAGTATCATTTATTTATAAATGAGAGGATATATTTCTTAACAGGTATGAAAATTAGTTGAGAAATGGAGTAATGTTTTCTCTAAAAAATTTTACTAAGAATGAGGTCAAACAAGGTGCAGTCTTTAATCCTATATTGCTTACTATCTATCTTGATCAATTGTTGCAACAGTTTAGAATCAGTAGAGCTGGCTGTTGCATAGACAGAACTAAGGCCAATGTTTTCTGATGTGCTGATGATCTAATTCTACTCGCACCGACCGAAGATTCTATGAAAAAATGACAGAAATATGTAAAAGACAGTGCAGAATACAAACGTAACGTTCAGTCCTGTTAATTGTGTAGTAATTAATTTTAACTCGTAGAACTCGTTCTATCTTGATCCCAAACTTATGTGACTAGGCAGAGACACTCCGGTAAAGTATTCTGACAACATCTGGAGCTTATCATATCATCAAAGGCCCACTTGCAAATTATTCGGATGCTATTAAAGACTTGAAAGGTCAATATAAGGGAATTTTGGTCATCTGGATGACTAAAATCAAGAGTAAAGTCATTTATCAGAGACCACCCTCATATCCACACCTACACCTGAAGAAAAACTAAAAACAAATGATGTCCTTTTGTATAGAAGGAATCCAGCAAACTCAATCAACTTTTTTTCGGGAACTCACCTATCACTGATCTCTCCAACTTTCTTATAAATATATATTTATTTGTTAGGAAATCCAACTTAAAAATGATTGATATATGTAACGATGTGGTAGGACAGCAAGATCAAATAAAACAGCTATAGCCCGCAAAGAAAGCCCCAGCTGGATCTTTGGCATTATGAGAGGAACCAATTTCACATAGAAATGGCCCAGTGACAGGCATTTTGAATCCTACTGAAGTCAGATCGATGTTGTAATAGCTGTCTGTTGGCATTGATTTTGAGCATGGATAGCTCCAGAGTTTGATGTGAAGGATGAGTATATTTCAATAATTTCATTATAATATTAGTATATATTAGTTCTCCTTTAAATATCTGTCTCACCGCTTCAATGGTAAATTACATTTCATTTTTCCAACTATTTATCACCTTTCAAATTGTATGCTAAATATTACTGACTTTTTGCCGTAAATGTGTTTAGTCCAGCCATTAATGCAATCATTTAAGTAAGTTCTTACGAATAGTTTCTTATATTGTTTTCGATTCTTATCCAGCATAGTGACTTCGAGTGTCCTCAGTCTTTCTTAAAGTCCAGGAACCAGTTTTGTGACAAACCTCTGAAATTTCTCTTATTTTTCTATTTGAATTTTTTTATGTGTGAATTCCACACATAGATTACATATTCTAGTACTGGTTTAACATAAGCAATTTACAACATCCTTAAAGCGCCAGTGTTCGAGTTTCCTAAGACTACACGAATGTTTGACTGCTTTTTAAACAATGCTGATGATATCATGATATTAAGTGCCCCCAGTCACATGCCTAAGGTTATATCCACGTGAGTGTGTGTTTCGAGTTTGATTTAGCACCCTAACATTGTACCGAAAGGTAAAGTTTACTGGGTCACGCTGGTCACTCTTAAAAAATATATAGTAAAATAAATGTTTGTATGGAAAAAAATAGTTATACTAGAAGTTCAGAAATGGAGTGTGGAAAAGCCCTTCTGAATAAAACAATTATATCAGTCTTTGGCAGACCCACTGAGGGGATCCACAGAATTTCGCAATTTGGCAGATACAGACAATTTCAGAACAAAATTTAGATTTAATTAAAACTTTCCAATCACACAAACACAATCATTTAAGATTTTGTGTTTAGCCAGAATCCGCTGTTCCTAAATTAGGGTTTCTGCTTTCATAAAAGAAGATAGTGAGCGTGTGATAGTACACTTGTCTAAGCTTTATACTGCAACTAAAACTACTCGTTATCAGTTCGGCATTAGTAGCCCTGTCTCCAGACACCACCCTCACCGGTCTCCAGACACCACCCTCACCGGTCTCCAGACACCACCCTCACCGGTCTCCACACACCACCCTCACCGGTCTCCAGACACCACCCTCACCGGTCTCCAGACACCACCCTCACCGGTCTCCACACACCACCCTCACCGGTCTCCAGACACCACCCTCACCGGTCTCCACACACCACCCTCACCGGTCTCCACACACCACCCTCACCGGTCTCCACACACCACCCTCACCGGTCTCCACACACCACCCTCACCGGTCTCCACACACCACCCTCACCGGTCTCCACACACCACCCTCACCGGTCTCCACACACCACCCTCATCAGTCTCCACACACCACCCTCACCGGTCTCCACACACCACCCTCACCGGTCTCCACACACCACCCTCACCGGTCTCCACACACCCCTATCTATCTCCCTTCCCCATATTTTCAACCCACCTCCCTCTCCACACCCCACACCATCCCACCTACCACTCAACTCTACCCCACTTCCCTCTCCATCCTGCTCTCCATCCTGCTCTCCCCCTCCCTCTCAACACTCCCCCCAATCTACCAATTCTCCCTCGTCACTGTAACCAGATAAGTGTTAGGATCCCAGACAATACAAATATACTATCAGAATATGCGTTTTCCATATCAAAATTAAAATTTTCAGTTATTAAAAACAGGTCATAAAAATCTATGGACGAGCTGCTTACAATTTCGTCTCCACCGACTTCGTGGGTGTCGTCATGACTACCCTTAGAGTGGATCAATGGGGACCGACCCCTATTTACCCATGTCTGTGACGTAACATCCTCCCGTCACCCTGCAAAGTTTCACGAGACTGGCCCCAATTGCCTGGCCTCCAATCACGAACAAACATTCATTCTCTTCTTTAAACATAGATAGTTATATCTCTGGCAGACAGTCTTTCCCTGCATGTAAGATTATATAAATATATTTATATCTTTAAACGAGAATGTCTGACTATCCCAGGATAGAGGACAGACCCAAACCCTGTGACGCCTTAAATAGGGGTCGGCCCGCTATTCCCTTCACGAAGTCAGTGGATATAAAATGTGCCTCCCAAAGTTTGTAGGGTTTAGCATTGTTTTATATATTAGAATATTCAGATATAGACTTGCTTAATGTATAATCAGATGACAAATTTGCATTCTGCAATCAACCTTTTGGTTACTGTGATTGATAGTGTGTGTGTGTGTGTGTGTGTGTGTGTGTGTGTGTGTGTGTGTGTGTGTGTGTGTGTGTGTGTGTGTGTGGGTGGGTGTAGTGAAAATAGTTACACTTGTCGGGAGAGAACTGGCAGAGGTGTGTGTGATGGGAGACGTGTATGGTGTGAAGATTTTTATAGTAACAAAGACAGTGTGCATTGAAGATGGTTGGCGACGGAGTCGGTATGTGTGTAGGGGAAAGAGGGGGAAAAGGGAGAGAGAAAAGAAGGGTGAGTGTGGCGTGAGAATGGGAGGGTGTGTGTATGGGAGGAAGACTTGGGATGATGTGTATGGTCCACCTGTCATATGGTCCAACTGGGCACCGCCAGGAACCCCATTTAGTATATCCATAAGATATAGTGACTGTCTGAGGTTAGAAGCCAGGTACTTGGAGGAAGTTTCATCTAATTTTGCACCGTGATTACTGTAGGGTACGTGCCCAACATGAGCAGATTAGGTATGGTAAGATTAAAATAAGCAGAACGTGTGACGATCTCGTACTGAACCCAATGACCATCCTTGATTTGTCTACAGACTCGACATTCCGAACAAAATGTAAAATTCCCTGCAATATTGTAAAACTTTAAGCATAATATAGGGAAAATAAAAATATTTAATTATACTCATCATAACTTACCCTTACCTAACCAAATAAATTTTAATGGTGTTCAATTTCATGACGTCACTCACGCAGCTGCGATTCAGACCCACCCACAGTCCATCCCACACCCACTTTGACCCAGCCCCTCCCCCCCCTCCCCCCCCCCCCCCCCCCCCCCCCCCCCCCCCCCCCCCCCCCCCCCCCCCCCCCCCCCCCCCCCCCCCCCCCCCCCCCCCCCCCCCCCCCCCCGAGCTCCCTCACCCACAGCCCAGTTTGCCGCAGCCCTTGAAAGCCCCACCCCCAGCCCCCTCCCAGTCCCCGAGCCCGCCTCTTTCAGCAGCTTCCCCGATAGTTCTCCAGGTGTCCTACCCATTACTCTTCAGGTTTTCTACCCATTTGGTTTTAGCTATTTTTTCTACTATTTTGACTACCACGCTTGATAATGATACAGGTCTATAATTTGGAGGTTCTTCTCAGCTGCCATTGTTACAGATTGGAACTCTGTTTGCCTTTTTCCATATATCTGCTAGGATTCCTGTGCACAAGGATGTCTGCAATATTAATTAGAGTGGAATGCTGAGCTCAGTTGCACTTCTCGCAGCACCCAAGGTGAAATCCATATGCAGACGAGGTCATGATAACGTGGTTGAAGATATAAAGACTAAATCATACACCAGAACATAAATTGTGTTTGTCCTGTTTTCTGGTTCTGGATCTCTGTTTTGGTATGAATGTTTGTTTGCATTCATCATATTTTGCACAAAAGTATGTTGTCTTACTAATCAAGACATTGATGCTCACAATAAAGCAGGATCCTAGAAGTACCTAATTGGTGCCCAACTTATATTTCAAATCTTCTCTGAAGTACCATGAACTAATTCACCCTTTCATCCATTTCAAATAAATATATTTCACAATACTGTACTTTGTTCAGGACTAATGCGGTGGTCTTAATAACTCTCCAGAAATTAATAAACCCTAATTAGACCCAATACCAAGCCAAAAACCACCCGAGTGCTGCTAACTTTGTCTCTCTTTCTCTTTGCCTGTCATCACACACACACGTTGAGCGCCGCTGGTGATGTAGGAGACTGTGGGTGAAATACCGGGGCGAAGGTTATGCCGGGAAGGTTGAGCGTGAGGACACAGCCCAGACCTCACTCAAGAGCCGAGATGGAGGCTCCAGGAAGTCGTCACGAGCCTCAAGGGTCACAAAAGACCCCAACAGTCGTGACCAGCTCATACCACAGGTGAGACTACACCTCCACCACTTATCCTTTCTATTCTTCTAGTACACCACCTTAGAATAGCTATTTTTAATGCAATTTTGTAATTTTTCTATCTCACTGGAAAAGGATAAATGTGTGGTAAGCCCTTTTAATAGACAGAGTGTATCTGCGCTACCTGACTTGTATTTCATCTATCGGGAGTCTCAAGATACTAAATGATACATTATTATGTTGTCATTCATTCTATGATAATGAAGTTTCGATGCAATTATCTCTTATACTTCAGATTTGCTTTTCCTGATCCTAATGCAAGTGAAGAACACTGTTTTTGTACATTGTACATTTTATGAAAAGTTCATTCTAGCCTTAAACTCTCTTACTGTTAGGGATCGCAGGTTGAGGAGTGCAACTGTCATGAGCAGCCCAGAGTAAAGGTAGGTATTCCGACCCCTTAACAAGCTCTTCATCTTCATTATTGTTCATGATTTCGTAACCTGGGAATACGAGGATCTTAATATCAGCAACGTAGAAATGAGTTTTACAGTAGTCAAAATGACTGAATTTATTAATTTTAGGCTCTGTTTTACCTAAAGTAAATTAGGTGGGTCTGTGCTGATGTATTTAACAGAAGATAAAATGATATATGTACATGTGTTCTCTAAGATGTGAAATATTTTTGTGAGAAGGCTTCGTGATCAGCATTATATTATTTGGCTATTCGAATTGTTTATATCAATTAAGTAGTGTTTATAAATTGATAAATGAAAGTACTAGCTACCATAACGTACACTCCAGTGGAAGCCACAAATTAATAAAACTACCTTAGTTAAGAACAAATCCATAAAGGCCGTGATGAGATATCCCTAGATATCTCTTAAGATGTCTGCAGTATACAGAAGCAGAATAACGAACGTATATCTATTTTAAATAAATCAAATTAAATGGAAATCCAGTCTAAATACATTCGGTGTATGGGGACAGTAGGGCATTAAAGTTTCTGTCATCTTGAAAACATGATCATTCTACCCGAGAATGTATGACTGTAAACGAGCAGTGCATTTCAACCAGTAATGTTCAAAATGTCAAGTCCCCCTTGAGTTAACATTGTGGGACCAATACGTAACCCGGCCAAGGATATTTCTCATTTCCAATATTGGTTTCATATGGAAAACTTTGGATATGGACTACATATGATGAATCAACACATATAGTAGATTGTTGCCAACAATCATTTGTTTCAATGATTGCACAGAACCATATGTGAATTTCAGGGATGAAATCCTGAAAAGAAGATGTATGTATATCCTCTATTCAGTATATTTTGTATTTAGTATGAATAGAGGATTAAAATACAGATATACAGATACTATGGTATACTCGCGGAAAATCACATCAATACGTATTTTATATACGTGTATGTATATATATATATATATATATATATATATATATATATATATATATATATATATATATATATATATATATATATATATATATATATTTACCATATCACTGCACCATTGATCGTTGACGATCAATGGTGCAGTGGTCTCGGTACTGTGTACGTTTGGGGATGATCCTGAACGTCATGGGTTCGAATCCTGGTCGGGTCATTTAGAGTTCTTAGTTATCTATAGCTTGCGCGTTCCTGCAGCCTTTCTCACATAAATATGCATATATAAACTACGGAACCTACTCATAGTAGATTTTGTAGTAGAAAGAGAACTTACGGCAGCATTAATAAGGAATTTTAATATAATGATAATTATATTAAATTGATAATTATATCCATATAATTAAAGCTTGTGAGAGCGGCGGGAAGAAAGCTTATGAGAATATAACGAAATATTTACAAGCATGGTGAAGCCTTGGCTGGTGATTTAGGTCTGCAGTGACTATCAAGAGACTGATTCTATTGCTTGTCTATCAGTCGTTATTGATAACCGTATAATGCATAATAACTTGAAATAATTTTGGTGAATTTGGGAAAATATGTTAGAAGTTGCATACATATGCGACCCGAGTCAACGTAGTGGTTGAAGTAGGAACAAGAACTGAGTCTTGAAGTACTTGTTGGGCAGAAAGAGATTCATGGACATTGAAAGTAGTTTAATATGGACGTCGAAATATTCAGGTACACATGAGAGAATCGAGTAAATGGTATAAAATAAGGAAAAACTGTAGAGATTTTTCACCTTGACCTTTCATAAGATAATTCAACGATATAGATGAGAGTATTAATAACAGAAAAAAGGAAATAAAAACTAATTATTATTTTGAAAGTTAAACATAGTGAAATGAATGAGCAATGTAATTAAAAGGATTTAAGGTTAATATGTTAACTAATACTTTATCATACTTGTTCATTGTATCTTTGGTCAAGTATATTTTATCCACAAATATTCAGTACATTTTAGATAGAAATAAACAAAATAATAAAATTGATACACTATTAGTTATCAAGACCATAAATGTGTTAAAGCTATGTAAATGAGTTCCAAAGTAATATTGACTTTCTAGCAAAAGTTAGAAGATGCTTGCAACATCTTTCGGCAGAGGTCTGAACAGGTAAGTTTGCTATCAAGACGTCCATTGTAAAGAGCGTGAACAAAATTAACAGAAAATGATAAATACATTGCTACATGCCCAGCTTTTCATATTTATTTTTGAACCAGCAGTGATGTTAACGTTCCCTTATTTCCAGGTTATTCTCCATTTCTCCTTAAAAGTCTCTTTACGTTCACTTGAGCAATCACAGTTCATCTCATAGTCTCTTCCAGATAACAGAAATATATGACATATATATGTAAACATAGTTGGAGATGAGTGACGTTGTTGATTAATGAGACCCACCAGATCGCTGCCTTCCCCCCTACAGGACCAGACTGACTCTTCGTCGATATATCACAGCAAGTGTTCCCTTGTGCCGCCCCCACCCTCGCCTCAGGCAGGTGTATAACCCTTTGTTGACCTCGTGACCTCTTGACACTACCTTCCTCCACTCTGTCTCGTAGGCGAAGATTTTTGGTGCTCTCCCGCCCTCCTTAACTTAAAATACAAATTTTTGTCTGCTGATACAAAGCCCATGACATCAGGTTAATTCTTCCAGGGTGCGACAGGAGACACCGAAAATAACGCCTCTGTTGCATTGTTTTAGCCATTCTTCCCTGACTATATCAGTTATTACATCTCCACCGCCTTGCGTCTCCCATTATAAACCCTCGACTAGTAAACCTGTATTAAACTTGCCTCATCCATACCTGTCCAACGCTTGTCTTCAACGTGTATATCGTTTCCCTCGTCACAGGTGTAATACATGTTCTTCGCATGTCTATATCATCTGTTGTATAACATATTTTTAAATACCTTTATCCCCCTCGTATATGTAAGTTGAACCAGATATGGGCCTGTAGGCCTACTACAGTGTTTTTTCTTCATAATAAATTTGCTACATTATAAGCCAATCTCTCAATATGTATCTCCTTGCTTTTCCTAAAGTGTTATGGCGCTTATTTGCGTCGTAAAGTCTTGAAACACATTATTATTTCGACTTAATTTATGTGATGGGTTGTATATTAAAGTAGGAATACACTAAGGGTTGTGCCATACACTCATGGCACAGTGTATTTATGAAAGGCTCGAAAGTATGTTGTTCAGTGTATGTATGAAAAGGTCGAACATTATGACAGGAGTGCGCCAGGGTTGTGTAATACACCCAAGGGTGCTCAATATATGTATTAGAGGGATCATGAGGGTTGTCAAGGTAATAATAGATGAGAGGTGTAAAATAATTGTTTGGAAAACATTACGGTGTAACTGGAAAATCTCATGTAAGCTCCGGTATATATATTCTAACATAGACAGATGATGCAGTTCTTTAATCCAAAAAATAACACAAAAAAATATATTGATAGTTCAAAAATAAATTTGTGAATGAAAAAGAAGATTGTATGAAGTGAGCGATACAATTAGGTGACGGAGGGAAAGAAACTTTGCATATGAAACGGAGGTATATGATGTAGAAGTCCTAGAAAAGCTAAATACCCCTGACTTTGTAATTGCCAAAAAATAATGAGTTTTGAAAGAAAAACTGAAAGTTGAACGTCAGAATTGGAGTCCCGCCGAACACACAACGAAACTACGACGTTGCTGCAACGTTCGGCCAAGTTTTATTACCTAACAAGTTGTATCAACTAATATAGCAAGTTTGTAACAGCGTTCCAATCCGTCATAAAAACGTTATTACAAGACGTAACAACTTTATTACAAGTTGTAACAGGCGAAAAATAGGAACAGTTACGTTGTGTGTTTGCAGGGTTGGTAATGGTTACATTTTTATTGACGCTGACGTCGTAGTACACAAACTGGAGATATAGAACTACTGTTATGCGTATGTGATGATAATAGCATAAATTAAAGTATACTCACTGGAGGCACATTGTACCTAGTTATGTGAAGAGATGGGTCACTATTGCTGTGAATGGTCCGCTGGCGGCTGTCGTGGCTTAGAATGTGTGATGTTGTTTACTGTGAAAGATTACCCTATGTTGTGTATTGTGAAATATTACCTTATGTTATGTACTGTGAAAGATTATGTTATGTTGTGTACTGTGAGAAAGATTACGTTACGTTTATACTGTGAAAGATGACGTGTTGCTGTGTCCTGTGAAAGATTACGTGATTCTGTGAATTATGAAAGATTATATTCTGTTTTGCACTGTGAAAGACTGCTTAATGATGCCTATTAAAAAGCTAAATGATGCTGTGCACTGTGATACACTTAGTGATGCTGTGCACTGTGAAAGTGTGCATAATATTGTGTACTGTGAAAAACTATTAGATTGGACGAATGTTCTTTAGATTAGGTTCAATTAACTTGTCAATACTGCTGTCTTTTGTATATCTTTCTTGGTTGATGTCCCCCATGGCTGATGCCTCCCTTGCTGATGTCTCTCTGAATCATGCCTTTCTGGCCGATGTCTGGATAAAGTCTCGTTGGCTGTTCTCTGGCTGATGCC